GAAACTCGCATCGTTTTTAAACAATTGTTCGAAGCGATAAAATATCTGCATGATCATCGTATTGCACATCGTGATCTTAAACCCGAAAATATTCTTATGTCGAGTGCGGCAAATCTTGAAGTCAAAATTTCGGATTTTGGACTATCTAAACTCCTTGGTCCTGAACATTCATTAATGAAAACTCTATGCGGAACGCGTCTTTACGTTGCACCTGAAGTCATTGCTCGGACACCAAATCGCAGTTACGGAAGAGCGGTTGATATGTGGAGTCTTGGCGTTATTCTATATGTTTGTCTTTGTGGAAATTTACCATTTGCTGATGAATTGGGCCCACCAAACCTCCTCGATCAAATTAGATTAGGAAAATATAGATTCCACTCCCCTGTATGGAATAATATTAGTTATAATGCAAAAGATTTGATTAGAGGCTTGTTAACTGTTAATGTAAAAGATCGTTTAACAGTTTCACAAGCTTTGACACATCCGTTCATGCAGGTAAAATTCATATAATTTAATAGCTTAATTTTATATTCAATTAATTAATCAATTAATTTAATTCACTAGGAACTACCATTACCTAAATCTGTTTCAAATGCGCCAATTTTGTTACGAGGGAATGATAGCACTTCATTAATTAAAAATGGTCAAACAAGTTTCTCACAGAAAATTTTGTCTAGACAAGCGGATTCTAGTAATGCAGATTTTGCCGATGATGAAGCATCATTCATTATTACAGGTTCGGTTGAATTATCAAGCTATTCGAATTCATCTGACTCCGAGATTCAATATCTTTATGAAACTTCCTTTTCGGCAAAATAATTCAATTATTCCTATCTTAAAAATATATAACTTTCTTAATCAGTTTATGGCAATTTCTTTCCTTTTTTTTTTTTTTTTTTTTACACTTAAAAATTCAATTTAATGACTAATTATACGTAGCTCTAAATTATAATAATTTTTAGCTTTTTTTTTAAAATTTCCGAAAGTTATATTAGTGCAATATTATCATAATACATTAGTACGACGTGAATTAAACCGAGTCGCTTTATTCAAATTTTACATGTAACGAGTGATAAGGTTTTTATAGCTGTTTCGAAATGGTTAAAAAATAAAAAATTTTAAAATATATAGTATAGAACTAAATATCGAATGTTAGTACGTAGCGCAACTAAATCAATCGAAATTCCGGAATTTTGGTTGATTAGTTGCGCCACTAATCTATTCCTAGATATTAGATATCACCTGCCACTACGTACTAAATTTGATACGTACAAGTAGGGCTTTTTACGTTTAGAACTTAGTTAAAAATTAGGTATGCCAACAAAGGGCGGATTTACTAATTGGCTGTTCTAATTACTCACTTATCGGAGTATTTATATTATCTTTATAAATCAACTTTATGTACTCCGATAGTGAAGTAGGGCATGCTTGAATGAACGGGGTGTAGAGATTCAGTACGACCGTACTTTTCGTAATTTGACGATAATATAATTTATATAGTAATACTATTCTAATCGTACAGAACTGCACTTATATACCGATACGTATATGAGTGCCGCCAAAAGAAAATGCACTTATCTAAAAATAGATTATTATGAATTTCATACTAATCTATTTTTAAATAGGTACGTATTATTTGGGGTTGGTGAATCAATTCAGTCTTTCTTCTTTAATCTTAAGTCTTCAATTTAGTTAAAATCTTTGTTTAAATTTAAGGTTAGAGTAAGGCGACTAAAAATCTTTTTTTTAGTTTAGTAAAAAAAAAAT